TTTAATGGGGATTGCATTGAATCTATAAATTGCTTTGGGTAGTATGGACATTTTGATGATGTTGATTCTACCAATCCATGAACACGGTATATTCTTCCATCTGTTTATGTCTTCCTCTATCTCTTTTTTCAGTGTCCTGTAGTTTTCAGCATATAAGTCTTTTACCGCCTTAGTTAAGTTTATTCCTAGGTATTTTAATTTTTTTGGTGCAATGGTAAATGGGATTGCTTCTGTAGTTTCACTTTCTGTAAGTTCACTATTGGTGTAAAGAAATGCCATGGATTTCTTAGCATTAATTTTGTATCCTGCTACATTGCCGAATTCATTTATTAAGTCTAATAATTTTTTGATGGAGTCTTTAGGGTTCTGTATGTACAGTATCATGTCATCTGCAAATAAGGACAGTTTTACTTCTTTTCCAATCTGGATGCCTTTTATTTCTTCTTCGTGTCTGATCGCAATGGCTAGTACTTCCAGTACTATGTTGAACAGGAGTGGTGAGAGGGGGCATCCCTGTCTTGTTCCTGTTTTTAGGGGAAATGGTTTTAGTTTTTGCCCATTGATTATGATGTTGGCTGAGGGTTTGTCATATATGGCTTTTATTATGTTGAGGTATGATCCCTCAATTCCTATCTTGCTGAGAGTTTTTATCAAGAAAGGGTGTTGGATTTTGTCAAATGCTTTTTCCGCATCAATTGATATGACTACGTGGTTTTTTTCTCTCAGTTTGTTTATGTGATGTATCACGTTTATTGATTTGCGGATATTGTACCATCCTTGCATCCCTGGGATAAATCCTACTTGGTCATGGTGTATGATCTTTTTGATGTACTGCTGGATCCGATTTGCTAGGATTTTGTTGAGGATTTTGGCATCTATGTTCATGAGGGATATTGGCCTATAATTCTCTTTCATTGTATTGTCTTTATCTGGTTTTGGGATTAGGGTGATGTTGCCTTCATAGAATGAGCTGGGAAGTGCTCCTTCCTCTTGGATCTTTTGACATAGTCTGAGGAGGATAGGTTTTAGGTCTTCCTTGAATGTTTGGTAAAACTCCCCTGTGAAGCCATCTGGCCCCGGGCTTTTGTTTGCTGGAAGCTTTTTGATTACTGCTTCGATTTCCTCCATAGCTATTGGCCTATTGAGATTTTTAGATTATTCCTGGTTAAGTTTTGGAAGGTTGTATTTATCTAGGAATATGTCCATTTCCTCCAGGTTGTCTAGTGTGTTGGAGTAGAGTTGTTCATAGTATTTTCTAACAATCCTTTGTATTTCTATGGGGTCTGTTGTTATTTCCCCTCTTTCATTTCTGATTTTGTTTATTTGGGTCCTCTCTCTTTGTTTCTTGGTGAGCCTGGCTAGAGGTGTATCAATCTTGTTTATCCTTTCAAAGAACCAGCTCTTGGTTTTGTTGATCTTTTGTATTGTTTTTTTGGTCTCTATGTCGTTTATCTCCGCTCTGATCTTTGTTATTTCCTTCCTTCTGCTTACAGTGGGCTTTTTGTTGCTCTCTTTCTAATTCTTTGAGTTGTAGAGTTAGGTCATTTATTCTCATTGTTTCTTGTTTCTTCCAGTAGGCTTGTAGAGCTATGAACTTCCCTCTCAAGACTGCTTTTGCTGTGTCCCATAGGTTTTGGATTGTTGTGTTTTCATTGTCATTTGTTGCCATGATTTCTTTGATCTCACTGGTGACCCAGTCGTTGTTTAATAGCATGCTATTTAGTCTCCATGTGTTTGATTTTTTTGGATTGTTTTTGTTGTAGTTGATTTCCAGTTTTATGCCTTTGTGGTCTGAGAAGATACTTGATATGATTTCAATTTTCTTGAATTTGAAGAGACTTTGTCTGTGACCCAATATATGGTCTATCTTTGAAGATGACAAATGTGCACCGGAGGAAAATGTATATTCTGTGGCTTTGGGGTGAAATGTTCTGAAGAGGCCAATTAATTCCATCTGATCTAGTGAGTCATTTAGGATTGATGTTTCTTTGCTGAGTTTCTGTTTAAAGGATTTGTCCAGTGGAGATAATGGGGTGGTAAGGTCCCCTACTATGATTGTATTGCTGTCAATCTCTCCCTTGATCTTCTCCAGAAGATTTCTTACGTATTTGGGTGCTCCTATATTGGGTGCATATATATTTACCAGAGTTATTTCTTCTTGTTGGACTGCTCCCTTTAGTATTATGAAGTGGCCTTCTTGATCTCTTTTTATGTCCTTCACTTTGAGATCTAATTTGTCAGATATAAGTATTGCTACCCTGGCTTTTTTTTCACTTCCATTGTCCTGAAAAACCTTTTTCCATCCCTTCACCATCAGTCTGTGTGCATCTTTTTTTCTGAGGTGGGTTTCCTGTAGACAGCAGATATATGGGTCATGTTTTCTTATCCACTCATTTACCCTATGCCTTTTGACTGGGGAATTTAATCCATTTACATTTAAAGTTATTATTGATAGAAACTTGTTAGTCGCCATTTTTGTTCTTTACCGCTGCGTTCCTTCTTTGTTTCCTGTTTTTTCTATTTACAGCAGACCCTTTAGCATCTTGCATTGCTGGTTTGGTTGTAATAAACTCTTGTAGACCATTTTTGTCTGTGAAGCTCCTGATTTGACCCTCATTTTGATTGATAGCCTCGCTGGGTATAGTATTCTTGGATTCAGACCCTTCCTTTGCATGACTTTGTATATTTCATTCCATTCCCTTCTTGCCTGATGTGTTTCTGTTGAGAGATCGGTCTCTAGTCTGATGGGGGATCCTTTGTAGGTAACTTTCTGTCTCTCTCTGGCTGCTTTTAAGATTCTTGCTTTGTCGTTGGTGTTTGCCAATTTAATTATTATGTGCCTTGGTGTCGGTCTTTTCAGGTTCATTTTGTTTGGGAGTCTGTGAGCTTCTTGGATTTGTGTGAGTTTTTTCCTCCCTATATCAGGGAAATTTTCTGTTACTATTTTTTCAAACAGGTTTTCTATTCCTTGCTCAGTTTCCTCTCCTTCTGGCACCCCTATTATTCGGATGTTGTTTCGTTTAGCATTGTCCCAGAGTTCTCTTAGGCTCTCCTCCTGCTTTTTAATTTTTTTTTCTAGAAGCTGTTCTGTTTGGGTATTTTTTTCTACCTTGTCTTCTAGCTCGCTGATGCGGTCCTCTGCTTCTTCTAGTCTACTGTTGATGCTTTCTATTGAGTTCTTTATGGCAGTGAGGTCGTTTTTCATTTCTTCTTGGTTTCTCTTCATTTCCTCTTGGTTCTTCTTCATTTCCTCTTGGTTCCTACACATATTGTTGAATTGTTCTTCCATTCTTTTCATCCACCTTATGGCCATTACTCTGAATTCTTTCTCTGACAGGTTGCTTGCCTCCATTGCCTCCATTTCATTTACTTCCTTTTCTGATGATGCCTGTTTTTCTTTCATATTTGGGTTGGTTCTTTGTTTCACCATGATTTCTCTTCTCAAGGTGTTTAGTTATGTAGTTCTCTCTCTGCTTTAGGGGATGCCCAACCTTTCCGTGAGAAGAAGCAGTGCTCTTCTGAGTTCAGGCCGTCACGCTGCTTGAGATCCCTTGTTTCCAGGATAGTAGCTGGTCTCTGGATGCCGGCAACAACCACCCAAGATGGCGCAGTCTCCGCTGCTCAGCTGGCGCACCACGAGAGGCTTCAGCCGCAGTCTCCAACCGTCCCTCCTTTTTTCCTGGGGGTTCTCGGTCTTTCCTAGCTGCAGACAGTCTCTCAGCTGAAAATCCTCTGCCTATTCGGGCTGCATGTTACCCGTTTCAGCTGCTCAACCTTTTCTGCTCCAGGACAAGGCACAGGACACGCCCCTTTATACCTCAGCCATTTTCCCTCTGCCTGGGCACCTTCTAATTAATTTCCTTTTAATGTGCACAAATCCATCCACTGGACCACTAGTAGATAAATAAACCTGGAGATATAATGCACAGCATAGCGATTATAGGCAACAGTACTGTACTACAACCTTCAAAGTTGCTAAGAGACTAGATCTTGTTTCCACCACAAAAAAGAAATGATAATTATGTGATATGATAGGCATGTTAGCTAAGTGACAGTGGTAATTATATTGCAGTATATAAATATATCAAATAACAAAGTTGTGCACCAGTGGGGTCCCTCGGCCTGGCCTGCAGGATCGGGCTGAAACCGGCTCTCCAACGTTCCCAAAGGGGTTCCGGATTATGAGAGGGCGCAGGCCAGGCCGAAGAACCCCGCTGGTGCATGATCAGGGCCAGGGAGGGATGTGGGATATTGGCCAGCCGGGGAGGGACCGAGGGAGGGGTCCAGGGTATCTCCAGCCCGTCTCGCTCAGTCTGGATCAGCCAGACCCCAGCAGCAAGCTAACCTATCAGTCGGAGCTAACCAACCCCTGGTGGTCAGTGCACATCATAGCGAGCGATTGAGTGGCCTTAGCATATCATTAATTACACTTTGATTGGTTGAATGGATGACCAGATGACTGGACTCTTAGCATGTTAGGCTTTTATTATATAGGATTATATCTTGATTAAAATAATTCAAAGCTTTGTTTTCTGAACTCTATTGTAGACTCCATCCAATGAGCAGTGTATATGAAATTTTTTTTTTTTTTTTTTTTAAAAAAAGGACACATTTATTCAGCATCATGATCAGACTATTACATTTAGCAATCAACACTTGGGTGCAAAAAAAAAATCTACATTAAAACCCTTGGTTGGAATGCTTTACACTTTCCACAGAACAGAAACTAAAATAACCTGTTATACAATTAGTCACAAATACAGACCTCGAGTTTTTTTGCCCATTCACATGAGTATTGTCTAACACATGTCTTCTTTGTAGCAGCTAGGCCCTGCCACCACTGTGCTTGGCTGAGTTCACAAATCTGTTGTAGCCTGTAGCTTCCTTGTCACTTCTCTGGCTCTCCTCTCCTGCTAAGCTTTGTTTCCTGGCAGTAATTAAAACCTTCTGCCACTGCCATAGCTACTGCTGCTGCTAGAACCACCATAGCCACCTTGGTTTCATGATTTGGCAAAGTATTGACCTCCATCACCATAAGGACCAGAGCTTCTGCTGCCAAAGTTTCCTCCTTTCATAGGCCCAAAACTTGAAGATTGATTGTTGTAATTGCCAAAATCATTGTAGCTTCCACCACCTCCAAAATTGCTTCCATCATTACCAAATCCATTATAGCCATCCCCACTGCCACCATATCCACCGCCACCACGGCTGCCACCAAAGCCACCTCGACCACTGAAGTTTCCTCCATGACCGAAGTTGTCGTTTCCACCAAAACCACCTCCACGACCACCTCCGAAGTTTCCAGAACCAATTCGACCTCTTTGGCTGGAAGAAACACTAGCCATCTCTTGCTTAGACAGAGCTTTCCTTACTTCACAGTTGTGGCCATTCACAGCATGGTATTTCTGAATGACAATCTTGTCTGCAGAGTCATGGTCGTCAAAGGTTACAAAAGCAAAGCCTCTCTTTTTGCCACTGCCTCGGTCAGTCATGATTTCAATCACTTCTATTTTCCCATACTGTTCAAAAGAATCTCTTAGGTGATGTTCTTCAGTGTCTTCTTTAATACCACCGACAAAAATCTTTTTCACAGTTAAGTGGGCACCAGGTCTTTGAGAATCTTCTCTTGAGACAGCCCTCTTTGGTTCCACCACTCTTCTGTCCACCTTATGTGGCCTCGCGTTCATGGCTGCATCCACCTCCTCCACAGTGACATAGGTGACAAACCCAAAGCCTCTGGAGCGCTTGGTGTTTGGATCTCTCATCACCTCAGACTTAGACATGATGACTGCAACGGGGGAAATTCCAACGATACTTACTCCGCGGTGTTCACAGGCAGAAATGAGTGATCTCCAGAGCGTATCTTGTCTATGAAATTCCTAATATTTTCTTTGTAGTTTGGAATAATTTGAAGTAGTTTATCTCCCCAGAGATTAAGTATCTTAAATCAACATATATCAACATATAAACTTATATCAACATGTAATAAGATAGAAATAAGACTTTACTGACACTATTACAAAAGTTTCTTAGTTGGGGAATAGTAAAAATAGAATACCTTAAAATATTTTAAATAGTTTATATTCTATTCATAGTTTCTAGAGCTAAAGCTGAAAAGTAAATCTCTGCTTTCACTCAAAAAATTTTAGGATTTAAGTACTGTGAAAATATGAAAATACTCAGTATTGTTAGCATTGAGACCTGATTCCTATGACAGTAGTTTGACATTCCCACTTATTTACCAAAAACAACATTTCAATCAGCTAAAAGGCAAGTATATTTTATCATTATTACATTTTTATTTTTACAGAGCTATAATTTTGGAAAGCTTAATTATTCAATTTGAAGTCTTTACAGTTTTCAGGTTTTAACTGCTACAACCATGCCTATCCAAAAATTTATCCTAAAATTTCTGATAGGTGTTCAATGGAAGAGACATAGGAAATAAGTAATGTAGTCCCTTGCCTAGGGCATCAAAACATCTCATTTCATGCAGTGATGTAGAATACATTTGCATGAATAAATACCAAAACTTAGTCTACCTTGAAAGGACTTTAATTTGGTCCATACTTTTGTTTTTCTCCCTGGAATTTAGATTAACAACAACAAAGAAAAACCATCTCCTGAATTATTACCATCTCACTGGTACGTGTTTTTATAATACCCTGTATGAATTTAAACCCAGAGGCATCTGAACTATTTCAGTTCATATCTCAGTTTGTTTCTTTTTAAAATTTACATAATTACACAGATGATCATAATTAAAATACACTTAATTTTTTTCATACTTTTCAATATATTTGGGTCTAAAATGATATCATTATTTGAAGACAAGGCTTTGAGATAATATTCTTTAATAGGTATCAAAATAATAAAACTATGTTTTATCATAAGTAATGCCTATTACTTGCCCTAAATCATGTTATCAAATGATTTAAAAATGAAATATATAAACATACAAATTAGATATTTGTGGGGTATAGAAAAAGTCACTCTCTTTTAAAAATAATGTTATTTTTGATAAAATGATAAATTTGATTGTAGAAATCATCAAAATACAAATCAAGGAGAGGATTAAAAATAGCAGCAGGTAAGAGGATGCTCCACAGATATGCTCTCAGAAACAAGCAAAGTTGTATTTTATTAAAACTAAAATACAGAAAAACTTCCTGAATAATCGATGGAAAACTCACAGGAGAGAACCCTGACACCTGAGGACTAAAAGTGGAGACCACATAGAGACTGGTAGGAGGGGCAAAGGCACTAAAGGGCTGCCTGGGTGCCCACAGACAGCAACTGAAGCCCAGACAGATATCAGTGGGGTACTAAAGTCCCCTACTATGATTGTACTGTTGTTGATCTCTCCCTTGATATCTTCCAGGAGTTTTTTTAATGTATTTGGGTGCTCCTGCATTAGGTGCCTATATGTTTACCACAGTTATATCCTCTTGTTGTATTGATCCCTTTATTTTGAAGTGGCCTTCCTTATCTCTTGTTATGGCCTTCATTTTGAGGTCTATTTTTTTCAGATATAAGTATTGCTACCCCCGCTTTTTTTTTTTTTTTTCATTTTCATTTGCCTAGAAGACATTTTTCCATCCCTTCACTTTCAGTCTGTGTGAGTCCCTTGTTCTGAGGTGGGTCTTTTGTAGACAGCGTATATATGGGTAATGTTTTCTTATCCATTCATCCACTCAATGTCATTTGATCGGAGCATTTAGTCCGTTTACATTTAAAGGTATTATTGATAGGTACTTTTTTGTAGCCATTTTTATTTTTTGTGCCTATGTTCCTTCTCTCCTTTTTATTTCTTCTTTTTACACCAGTCCCTTTAGCACTTTTTGCATTACTAGGTTGGTAGTGGTAAACTCCCTTAGCCTTTTTTGTTGTTGTTGTCTATGAAGCTCCTTATTTACCCTTCAATTTTGAAAGATAGCCTTGCTGGATAGAGTATTCTTGGATTCAGTCCATTGCTTTGCATCACTTTGTAAACTTCCTTACATTCCTTTCTGGCCTGATGTGTTTCTGTTGAGAAATCATTTGATAATCTAATGGGTGATCCCTTGTACATAACTTTCTGTCTCTTTCTTGCAGCCTTCAAGATTCTCTCTTTGTCCTGAATGTTTGCCATCATAGTTACAACATATCTTTGTGTGGTTCTTTTTGGGTTCATCTTATTTGGGACTCTCTGTGCTTGTGTGACTTTTTCTTCCCCAAATCAGGAAAGTTTTCTGACATTATTTCTTCAAGTAGGTTTTCTAACCCTTGTTCCTCTTCCTGTCATTCTGGCACCCTTATTATTTGTATGTTGCTTCATTTCGTGTTATCTCAAAGCTCCCATAGGCTCTCCTCCTGTCTTTTAATTTTTTTTCCAATTGTAGTTCACTTTGGATGTGTTTTGCTTTCCTGTCTTCTAATTCTTTAATTCAGTCCTCCACTTCTCCTAGTCTATTGTTGACACTCTTCATAGTGTTTTTTATTGTAGCTATATCACTCCTTATTTCCTCTTGATTCTTACATAAGTTGTTGTTTTTTTCATCCATCCAGTTTATGGACTGTATGACCCTTATTCTGAATTCTTTTTCTGACATACTGCATGCCTCAGTTTCACTAGCTCATTTTTTGGTGAGTCTTCCTTTTCTTTCTTTTAGGGGTTTCTTTGTCTCTCCATTTTTGCTCTCACTGAAGGATCTAGGTGTCGAGTTGTGTGGAGGCTGCTTCCTCAGGTGGCAGTGGCTCCTCGGGTGGTGGCTGCTTCTCAGGAGGTCACAGCAGGGGCTGCTCCTCAGTTGGTGGTGGCTCCTCTTGTGGGTGTTGCTTGCATGGCTGCTTGCAGCAGTGGTGGCTCTTCTGGCTGGTGGGGGTGGGCTGCTCAAGCGGCTGCTGCTCCTCGGATGTGGGTGGGCTGCTCGCATGCCTGCTGCCTCTCAGACGGGGGTGGGCTGCTTGCATGGATGCTGCTCCTCAGGTGGGGATGGGCTGCTCATGTGGCTGCTGCTCCTCAGAGAAGGGCAGGCTGCTCATATGGCTGCTGCTCCTTGTATGGGGGTGGGCTGCTCACGTGACTGCTGCATGCATGGTCTCGGTGTCCTGGGTTAAAGATTTTTGCTGGACAGAGAGGAGTGCCCTTTGGAACTCACAGGAACCCGTGGCCAGGGTTGCTGGAGTCTCGTTGACCAGGGGCCTACAGCTGAGGCAGCATGTTCCTGGTAGGGGTGGCTATAGAGCCCCAGGTGGTGTCTGAGAGCACCTTGGGTGGAGGTGAGGCTCCCAGTCACAGCAGCTCTTCCCTTCAAGAAGGCATGGCCTCTGTGGTAGAACTGGCCGCCCCAGGAGTATTTGCAGCAGCAGTATAGGCTGATGGGCTATGCGAGCCTGGTCAGCCTGCCACTGAAGTTCCTGAGGGATCTAACTGTCCCTCACTCCTGTACACATACACACCCTACACATCCACACACTCCCCTTTTGCTCTCTGCCTCACTTACTCACTCATGCTCCCTCCCTTACTGCGCCAACTTCCTGCCTCTGTAGTTGGGTCTGGAGTGTTCTTGACACTTTTGTGGATATTCTTCTCTCTGAGTGTCTGGTTATGTGGCTCGCTCTCTACCATTTTGACCAAACAAGACAAAATGCAACTTGACAAGACATGACACAAAGGGAACAAAACATGAATGTACTCACACCACGGATAACCCTGATATAAGTGACCACCAGAAAAAAGAGAATTAGGGAAGAGAAAAGAGAGCACAAATGATATCAAGGAGAGATAAAATGGTAAGAGAGAAAAGAAAAAGAAGAAAAACAAAGAAAAAGGAATATATATATATATATCCTATCTAATAAAAGAGAAACATGGTAATTAGCCGTACATCTGCTACCCTTCCCATTGGCTAGTCAGGGCGATATGCAAATTAACTGCCAGCCAAGATGGCGGCCGGCAGCCAGGCAGCTGGAAGCTAACATGAGGCTTGCTTGCTTCAGTGACGGAGGAATCCAATGTTCCCTGCCTGCCTTGCCGGCCTCTGAGCTTGCAGTTTGAAACATTGTTACAAATATAGAAGCTAAACAAAACCCCAGAAACCTGCTTTCAGCCAGCTGGGATCTCAGAGCTGGAGTTGATACAGTGTTTCGATTGTAGAACCCAAACAAACCAGATACCTGCTTTCAGCAGCAGAGGCCTCAGAGCTGGAGCCAGAGCTAAAGCTGGCCCAGAATTAAAAAAAAAAAGAAAAAAAGGAGCCGTTGGGAGCTTCAGTCACCCGCCAGCCTAAAAACAGCCCTCAGCCCCTCACCCAGACTGGCCAGGCACCCCAGTAAGGACCCCCACCTTGAAGGGTGTGTTACCAGCTGCAAACAGCCCTCAGCCCCTCACCCAGGCTGACCAGGCACTCCAGTGGGGAACCCCACCCTGATCCAGGACACTCTTAAGGGCAAACCAGCCGGCCCCGACCCATGCACCAGGCCTCTACCCTATATAGTAAAAGGGTAATATGCCTCCCGGCACCAGGATCAGCATGACAGGGGGCAGTGCCCAAACCTCCTGATCGCCCTGCGGCTCTGTGTGTGACAGGGTGTGGCGCCCCAACCCCCTGATCGGCCCTGCTCTGTTTGTGACAGGGTGCGGCACCCCAACCCCTGCCCATGGGCCCTGCTCTGTGTGTGATGGGGTAGAGCCATAACCTCCCCATCAGCCCTGCCCTGAGTGTGACAGTGGCAGTGCCCCAACCCCCTGATTGGCCCTGCTCTGTGGGTGATAGAGGGCAGT